TGGGAGGTTGCTTGCTAAACCAGACTTTATTTTCCTGTCCGGAACACTTTTGTCATTTTTGTGGTTATTTCTTGGGAAACTACCAAAACAAAGATATTTTAACATGGCTTTGCAATGAGACTGTTGAGCTTCATTTATAAACATTTACAATTGGAAAGTGGGTCTTCTGCTTGTCACAAGCTGAACTTCACAAGGGCTGGAGACAGTGGTGGGTTCCTCCCGGTTAGATCTGGTTCGGCCGAGCCAGTAGCGGTGACGATATGACATCACCGAACCGGTTCTCCCCCCCACCCTCGTTATACTTACCTTTTATTTGGTCCGACCCCCAATCTATTGCTGCCTCCTGAGTCCCAGCTGATGACTAGAGGGAAAAAAACTGTTTAAACTCTTGCCGCGGGGCTTCAAAGGGCCGTCCTACAGCTGATCAGTGTTAAAAGCAAACAAATGAGTTGGGTCGTAAGTGCGAGGACTGGTCGTAAGTGCGAGGACCTTCCAGAAATGATTCTGTCCAGCTAGCCACGCCCACCTAGTCACACTATCTCCTAGCCACACCCACAAAATAAGCCACGCCCAAAGAACCGGTAGTAAAAAAATTTAGAACCCACCCCTGGCTGGAGAGTGAAAGTTGAGGCTATGTCAGATTGATGCCAGAATTTTGGAAGAAGAGACAAGTTTTTATATTTTGTAATTGATAAACTTTTTTAGGATATGGCAAGGGTGGGGACAGGATCCCCACCTAAAAATAAGGGGAAACGTGGAAATAATGTTTGTACCAAATTTTCAGCATTTGCAGTACCTTCAGGATTTGGGGGCGTATTTAGGACATGTCAGGTGAAGGCAATTTTTAAAAAAAGTTTGGAGATGGCATCCATGATATGAAGACTTCTGTAGCCATGAAACAGAGACATTTGCTACTTGGGAGAAATATTATGGCTCATCTTCACAAAATATTAAAATGCAGAGATATCACCCTGTCAAAAAAAAAAACCTACATATTTTCAAGGCCATTGTTCTTCCAGCTGAAACAGATGTCTGCAAAACTCACGATTCTTTGAATATATGCTTTTGAAACAGGGATGAAATTGTTGAGAATACCACAAGAATAATTAATTTTTTATAAATAAAAAATAATAAATAAAATAATTTCAGTGGTTAAGATGCTGATCTTGTTGGCTGGAAAGACTGCAGCCCAGGTTCAAGAGTCAAATGCTGCAGAATGGGGTGAGCTCCATTTTTGCCCCAGCTCCTATCAAACTAGCAGCTCAAAAGCATGGAAATGCAAATAAATAAGTAGGTACCACTTCCCTTAGGTGGAAAGGTAATAGAGCTCCATAACATCATACTTGGTCAGTGAACAGTAACAACAATTCCCAATAATAAGAAGAAAGGAAACTGTATGTTGATTGACTAGAGGTAGCTTTAAAATCTTATGCACCAACTCTGTCACATGAACTTTATTTGCTTTAAAGATGCCAGAAACTGAATCTGGGACTCTTTACATACAAAACAAGTGTTGAATTACTAAATTCTGATCCTAAGACAGAAGTTGGAGACCCAGGGAAGGAAAGAAAAATACATTCTGTAACCTACTTTGTGAAAACCTTCTGTTTGAAAGACAGCAGAAAAACCCTACATTTACACACACTCACCAATTTGCCAAAAGAAAAATAAACGTTTTCAATGAAAGCCAATGAAAGAAAGCAATTAGCTGGAAACAGATCACCAAGAATTCCACAACAAATCTGTACTTCATTGGCATGTATCATGCAGCTATGATCCTTAAGATACCCAAAAGAATCTGACGAAATTCATGAAAGTTGTAATAGGAAACAGACATGCTTACTTTCCCAATAGCCTTATTTATTCCACCTACTAATGATTCAACAAGACTAATAATTTGCTATGTCTCAAGACTATTGTTTATATTTTAGAGCTGCCTTCAAGGATGGGGGCAACTGACATAGCATTCTGTTCAATCTCTCAACATTCTGAGCCAATCTGGAAAAAAAAATATGGTTCAGGAACAATTGGATATAAACAATGATACAATTGGAACAGTGGTGGGTTGCTCCCGGTTCGGTCCGGTTCTTGCGAACCGGTAGTAACGGTAGCGGGAAGCTCCGCCCATCTGCCTGGACATCATCATGAACAATCTGCGCATGCGCAGAAGCTTCTGCGCGCACACTCCCATTGCGAACCGGTAGCGGTGGTAAGTAGAACCCAGCCCTGAATTGGAAGTATTGGCTGCTAATTTTATTCCTAAACAGGCAGTGGAGTTGGAGAAACTCTGGATAGCCCAAGTGTAGGTGAGCTGATTCCCTTCAGAAGTTTTTTATTCAAGTGAACAAATGTGATCTTGAAAACATATTTTATAGATACAAGGTGCCATTTATTATTAATCTTTAAAATATGTCACTTACTGAAAACTCTTAATCTGAAAATTGTCCAAGTTTTTGGAAAGGAAATTCCACTTCTGCTAAATTTTAGCTCATCAACTAACCTTGAGACTAATAAAGCTTCATGATGCTAGAGGAGCTGAATTGAGGAGAGGTGCAAAATGGTCAAAGACAATTCCTGTTAAGAGTAATTGGTGACTAACTGTCCCATTGACATATTTTCTAAAATTTGAATGGGGAGTGGAATAAGAAAGAGAGTCTCTACTTGATCGGTGTCAGGCACTGCTGGATGACTATCTTCTGGAGACAAGGAAAGTCTAACAAATTCCAAATGAACAATTTAAAGTGAACCCATGAAAAGTCTGAGAGCAATTTAGTTGAGTTTAAATTACATTTAAGGCAATTATTCTTGGAACAGATAATGCATGAAGCACAAACCAGTATCAACATATTTTCTTCATACACCTTAAAATGGCAAGAAAATTGTACCCTCTTTGCTACAAAACCTTCTACTAAGAAATGTAGAAAATCATGTATTATTCTAGTCCTAAATTTTCAGTAGTACAGCCTTGGGAGTAATACAGTACAGACAGACATAAACAGAAATGTTCAATGTGGGAAGTTGACTTACACTGTACTTATACACTTATACTTTCAGTGATTCCCAACAATATTTCTTAGGTTCCTATATTCTCTTTATCTCCTAGTTCTTTCTCAGCTTTTATTGACTTTACACCCTAACACACCAAATTTCAATGATAGGGAAACCTAGGAAAATAATGCAAATATTTTAATATACCTTTTCCCTGCTCTACTCAAGAGTACTTGTTACTCAAGAGTAACAAGAGCTTCTGTCTCTTTCAAGTATGGGAGAACTCTGGTATAATGTCCTTCTACCTCTTTCATACTATCCCATTTGCTTTTGCCCCTGGACCAAATGGGAACAACCCAACTAAAAGAAAAGAAAAGTCACATTCAATCTCTGCCCTTTAGACATTGCCTGTCTACTCAGAGAAGGCAGGTAAACAGTGACACCAAGAACAAGGTGAGGGTGTTGGGGAGATCAGAAATGGGGATGTTGGAGAATTTAGTATATTAGATTCCTAACCAAATGTGTCTATTTTCAGACTGCCACTGCATAGGTGAATCAAAAGGGTACTGTTACGCATGCAATTCCAGGTAACTACTTCATTATGTTCTACCTATAATACAGGAATCTTCTCAGTTTGGCTACACACTCCTGGGAACAATTAGATAAGGCTCCAAGGAACTTGGGTGTGTGGGGTTAATCTTAGATCTTTTGTGGTTACGCAGTGAGTCCAGGCTAACTCCACACTTGAGTCCTCCTCCCTGCCAGGTTGGGTACCTTTCAACAGGTATATACATAATTAAACCCATTTTTGTATGATATGATTTACAGCTAAAAAAAATGCCCTGAAGGTCACTGGGGAAAAAAATGTACAAGTATATGTATGTATACTTGTACATTGTATATTATGAGAATTATTCAGAAAATAATGGTCTTTCCTCAGGAGAAATGTTTTTTAAAAGTGTATACACTCAGATAAACATATAGATAATGTTTACTTGTCCTCTGCATCCTCAGTGAAGAAGTGATCCCCAAGAAGTCTGAGACTGGACAATCACTAATGGTACCAGCCAGTGGTGAAATTCAAAATTTTTTATTACTGGTTCTGTGAGCGTGGCTTGGTGGGCTTGGTGTGGCTTGGTGGGGATGACAGGGGAAGGATACGGCAAAATCTCCATTCCCACCCCACTCCAGGGGGAAGGATATTGCAAAATCTCCATTCCCACCCCCCTCTGGGGCCAGCCACAGATGGTATTTGCTGGTTCTCTGAACTACTCAAAATTTCCGCTACCAGTTCTCCAGAACCTGCCAAACCTGCTGAATTTCACCCCTGGTACCAGCCCAGGAACATTCCTAAGTAGACCCCCCTCCACCTGTCTCTCCCCAATACCGTTAAATCAGGACAACTCAACAAAATCCTTCTAGGAACTTTCCATCATTAAAATGAAATCCGGCATACAGTTAAATTCAGGTTGGCAATATCACTCTGAGGTTTGATGATCCCACAGAGGATGTGCAGGAAAACTTTACCCAGGCAATAATGGTCATTACGTTCTGTGCATTCCACCATCCGTAAAGCTAAAAGATAATCTTCAACAGTGCTGGGTGGATTGTCCCAGTTGTTGCTTTTGACACATGATTTTATTTTATTTTTTGCTCCATCTGGTCAATGTAGCAGCAGCTGCAAACATTAGCTGGGGTCAGTAGTTAAGTATAGCCAGCTGTGTTTTACAGGACTTGCCCTTATAAATAATTGAATAACTCCCTCCCTCTGTCCTATGCTGAGTAGAGCAGGGAGGTAGAGGAAAATAAGCCAACTGAGCTGTAAAATAGTATAACAATGTTTTCAGACCCATTTGGATAACAGGCCTATGGGCTCTTTTTATTATTAAGAAAGGGGGGTGGGGGGGAAGCATTGCTATCAGTCAGAGTACTGGGCACCAGCCCAAAGGTTACCAAAGAGACATCAGCTTGTTCCAATCAAAAACACAACTGTGTAAAAGGCAACTTCATACCTCTAGTGCAACTCTTGGATTGGCTCGGGATCAAGCAGCCTGATTAAGAGCTTTTAAGACATGGCGTTGTTGCCAGCTGTATGACCCCCTGCTCAGAAATGGCCATTCTGACAGTCGAGCGCACAACCTGGAATACATGGAAGCTTTACGGATGACTCCCTCAAGTGATACTCATAATCCAGATGAAATTAAGTTTTCCTGAAAACAGATGAAAGAAAACGATGATGCACGGGTCAGTTTAGTCGGTTCTCGTATGTGTTGATTCACAGAGTTTTAAAAGAATTTGAACAATGCACATCCCAAAGAAGATATTGAACAAGGGGTCAGGCTAAACATGGCATGAAAGAAGGCATGATTGCAACTCGTATCTTCCCCCACCCCCAAAATGGACTACTGTGGAGCCACTAACCCAGAGGTGTCAAACACAAGGATGTGATCGGATTCGGCCTGCAGGGCCATCCTGGAAAATGTAAAGTGCTGGCCTGCATTGTTTTGGCCCAGTCTACCCATGTCGCTTTGGCCCAGTCTACTCAATGCGAAGAGGAAATATTGGGCCAGCATGGCTTCGGCCCAGTCTACCCAGTGGGAAGAGGAAACATGCCAGCAGTTTGGGTAGTGGTGTTAAGCTGGCCATGCCTACCCAGTCAGCCACGCCTAGTGAGTGGCATCAAGCTGGCCACACCCACACAGTTGGCCACACCCACACAGTTGGCCACACCCACCCGGCCCCCCGAGTTCAGCCACAGTCCTGATGCGGCCCTCAACGAAATTGAGTTTGACACCCCTGCACTAACCATAGAAAGAAGCAGATTTTCATCAGTGGGAGACAAAAAGAGACTTTAAACACCTTCACTGCATGTTCACTTTAGCTGCTGTTTATAATACATTTAAAACCCAAATTAGGGATTTAAAAGAAAAACAGAAGACATTAACCTTCATTAATAGAGCAGACCCAGCAATGGTTTACCTAAAGTGGAATATTCAGGACTAAAAAGAGGGCTGGGCCATTGACAACATGCTGAGCTGTACCTGCAAAGTTAGTTAGATTTGTGATTTTTTTTTTTTTTTTCCTGGTTTCCAGCAATTTTGCCCAGTTTCTAGTTCTGTTTAATGTCTGCCATGTTCACTTGATGATAGTGATGAAAAATGTCAGAAAAACACTTCTGGTCAAGTGGGTATCTTGACTTATGACTGTAACGACGTATGACAGGATCTATAGTCCCAATAGCAGTTGTAAATCAAGGACTCCCTGTACTCTTCAATCTTTAAGTTCTTTAGTTCTATAGATAATGAAATCCTACCACAGCAAATGAGGCCTAGTCACTGCTACAACACACAGTTTTGAGTAATCTCTTCACAGACAGTGATACTCTTTGAATATATCCTTCATTTCTTCAAAAAGCTCTTTGTTTCCACTGGTGACATTAGCTGCCTCCACATTGTTCCTTAATCAGTAAAGTTCACACCCAAAGGAAATTCACTCAGTGGATCTCTTGTAGTCTCTTCAATTGAGGATTAAAATTTTCACACACGTACACCCAGAGACATTGTGTGATTTTTCATTGAAGTTATCAAAGTTCCTTACATTAAAGATATGTATTCTATGATATGCAAATAGAAAAAAAAATAAATCAAATACTAATAAATAATTATTAGGGCAGCTGGCAAAAGATAAAGAGGGGAAATCCACAATTACATTTCTACTTGTCTTTTGTTAAATCTAGTTTGGTGCCTGAAGGAAGGGAGGGAAGAAACCATAACCCACTGGAGTAGCTGCAGAATGAGGAAATACAATTAAAGAATAAAGTTAAAAAGAAAGGATGGATTTTTTCCAACACTTCATGGAGAAAATTCTGTTCTCACTTGTCATCCAGTACTATCTGCCCTCTCCTAAGTCAGTCATGGCTCTGTTTTCCATGCTTCTGAAGACAAAGCTAAATATTAATACAGGTCTTTAATTTTCCATTTCCCTTTTTCTGCCTCTTAAGGATAGGTGTCTTTCTCTGCCATGTAAAAACTCTCTCTCTCTCTCTCCCTCTTCCTCTCCCTCTCTCTCTCTCTCTCACACACACACACACTGCGAAGGAGATTGCATAAATCCTATCAGAATATCCAAATTACATTTGAAATCCAGTTTTTCCCAAGAAAAATTCGGATGAACTAAGACTCCTGTTTACTAGCACTTTTGGTAGAGAATATTCCAAGTAGTAAGTGGTTAAGTAAAACATGAGCATGTAAAGGTGCACGTGGAGAGAGAGAGAGAGAGAGAGAGAGAGAGAGAGAGAGAGAGAGAGAGAGAGAGAGAGAGAGAGAGAGAGAGAGAGAATCACTTTCCTAATTCACAACTACTTCTAGAAACAGCTTTGATCTTACTTTTGCTATTGCATGTGTATCTCATTTGAATGTGAACTCCCACCATTTCACTTTTTTATCTATTCTTTTGGTTTCTCTATTCCAAACCCCGTTTCCCTCCTTTTTCCTTCAAAGGATTCAAGTTTTATTTTAATTTCTTTTATTGATTATAAATCCATGAGCTTTTATGTTGCCTCAAACCTTCCCCTTCTAAGTAGTTCCGGATCAACACTGTGCTGTATTGAACCTATTAGGGGTTTCTCCCTTATATTTTCCTAAATCTACTTAAAAGTCTGGGAGAATACCAAAAAAAAAAAAAAAAAGTCCCCTGGTAAACTAGAAGATAGGGGCAGGAATTACATAAAAAGTGTTATTCATTTGCGGACATATGCTAAAATGAATGTTTTGGAGACCTCCATATCGTCATTATGGCAATCACTGGTTCAAAGATTCATTTCTGCCTCTGAATATAAAAGAGGGATACCAACAAGGAGAAGATGAAGCAGAAGGATAATAGGGTGCTTGTAGACCTCAGCTGACTTTTCTAGGGGACCCAGCTTGATTTTATAGAGGAAAACACAGCCGTGAGGAGCTTCTTCACGCATTCCTGAACTTCTTGTTATCTGAATTTCTAGAAGAAATTATCGTGATTGGACAGTATGATTTCCTAGGGTCGACTCCACATTTATTATCGGCACAAAAGCATAAGATGTTTTGCAGTGAAGTAGCAACATTTGAAAATTTAGAACTTTTTTTTAAACATTTGCTTTGTTTGATCTCTTTCATTTTTCCCCCTTTCCTCTTGTTTTTAGGTTAGTTTTGCTTAAGTTCCTTCTTTTAGCATTTTTCTAAAGGTAGAGTTATAGTTTTAAGCATCCATTTGTTATTGTATGTATGTGTTTTGTGTGGGTATGTGGGTACACTGTGTAATAACTCAAGCTATCTTTTCTCCTTATTGCTACCATGATGTAGCTCAGAAGCATGGGAAGTGAACACTTGTATGAGAAATAAAAATTACATGGAGTTAGAGAAATAAATATTTACTCCTATTTTTTCCACTTCATTTGCAGAATAATATGTATAATAACTTAGAAATGAATTCCTAAGGATAGAGATTGTTCAAAAATAGTTACAGTTGTGTCCTTTAAGACTGCATCATGACATCTTGACTTTTTTCTTTTTGACAACCAGACCCATTTGAAGAAGCTTCTGAGAGCTGCCCAATGGTCCTTCTTCCCCAAAAGTAGATAACGGTGAGGTCAAAGTTGACAATGGATTACATGATGATGTTACCCTTTCAGTTGTGTCTGACTCTTGGCAATTCTATGGGCCAGGTCTCTCCATATCTTCCAATCTTGCACCATTTCTTTGAGTCGTCTATGCTTTGGCTGATGTCAGCTTTGATGTTGTCCTGCCACCGTGTTTTTTGGTGGCCTGGTTTCCTTTTACCGCTAACTCTTCCAAACACAATTGCTTTCTCCAGTGAATTCCCCCTTATGACATGAACAGTGGTGGGTTTCAAAAACTTTTACTACCGGTTCTGTGGGTGTGGCTTGGTGGGTGTGGCTTGGTGGGTATGGCAGGGGAAGGATACTGTAAAATCTCCATTTCCTCCCAATCGGCTGGGACTTGGGAGGCAGAGAATAGATGGGGGGTGGGGCCAGTCAGAATTTTTACTACCGGTTCTCCGAACTACTCAAAATTTCTGCTACCGGTTCTCCAGAACTGGTCAGAATCTGCTGAAACCCACCTCTGGACATGACAAACATAAGTGAGATGCAGTTTTGTAACATCTCTGGTCTTATGCGTTCTGGTACTTGCTTGTTGGTGAATGAATTTATCGTCACTGATATTTATATTTCTCTAACATGAATATACCTAACACAATTATTCTCAGGTCAGTTAACAATCTCCCCTCTTACCTTAAAAATAACCATTTTATTACAACATTGTACAATAACAACCTCTGGAGGTTTTAGCCAAAGCTTTCAGGGATAACCCTGAGGTCTCCTATTGGGCAACTCTGATGTGAATTAATAGAATATCAACATTTGGCCTGACTAGGTCAAAATAGTTCCCAAGATAGAAAGTTTAACAAAGTAGAGAGGTGAAAAGTTTGAAGTATTTGAAAAGTGTATTGCTGGCAGGCAAAATAGCAATGAAGGTGTTTCAATGAGTACATAACATTTAAGACCAACATATATTAAGATTAAAAACAAAGTGACTACAGATGTAGAGGGAACACTGGCGATAGATAACCACATAGAATCACAGGGCTGGGAAGGAATCTCAGAGACCTTCTACTCCAACCTTATGTTCAAGCACAACCACAACTATTTCATTAAAACACATTTTATTGCAGCACTCCTGGTTGTACTCCTGGGAATACATCTGTTTTCTCAGGTACTAGATGTAGTAGTCCAAATATCAACAAAACAGAGTTGGAAGAAAACATAATTAATGTACTGTGTGGGCAAGGACACTGCTACCATTCCGCCTCCAACCGTATGAAAAGCTATTGTTTGTACAAAGAGTTTTTGTTCTCTGTTATTTCAACACAACCTTTTGATCCTTGAAAGAGCAGAAGTATAAAAGCTTCCAGGATTAAAATAAATAAATAAATACATTTAGGTTAGGTAATAGCTAGAGTCAGTGGAACAACCTGAAAGCCTCTTGTTCAAAATGCCTAAGTGGAACCTGCTTCTAGAAGTCACAAAATGAAGAATTGTATAGTTTCAATCTCGCTGCTCAACTTTTTCAGAAATCAGATTAAAAAGAAACCATTTCTAGACAATTAGTAGAAGTATACATCCACAATAATATCTCTACTCCCTGGAAATTAAAAGCCAGTATTAAAGAAAAAAGTCCTTTTGGATTTTAGTTTAACAACTATGTTTTAAACATACACTACTTCCCTCCCAAGCCATAACTGTGCACTGGGTTCTACTTTTAATTGTAAATTGTGTGATAGGTAACATATAAAGCAGAGGTGGGTTCTAATTACCTTTACT